GTCAGGTGAAAGATGGCACAACTTGAGGGAATGTTCTTAAATGTCGGCGAAATCCTCCTCAAGTCTGCATACTTCGATACCACTGTCTGGACTTAAAGTACCTTACTTGCGCTTCTGTCAGGAGGTATCTACTGAACCCTCTTCACATAACATATGCTCACAATTCCCAAGTAACGTCAAGAACTTGCAAGTCAGCAATTTGATGCCTGCTTTGGAGAACCAAAACAAAATGCTTATGGAGCTTTGCCAACGAAAAAACCGATTCTCTTGGAGTAAGCTGTTGTCAAAGCAATTAAGAGCTCCACATCTATGATAAGCAATGAGTGTTTTGACATGCTCAATGTCAGGATCTTTGAGGAACAAATAACCACCACAGCTTATGGCCTCGCGATACAGAAGCGCACAATTCGAATGTAGTTTAAATCTTAAAGCAAAAGCAATCATTCATAAGTTATTACACATCCCCAAATAGATTTCATGGTTTTTAGCCCGCCTAAAAACTCCTTTAGCGGCAAAACAACAGGACCTTGTTTGGTGTGTATTTCTATCCTCACCTGCATGATAATGAAATTCAGGTCCGGGCTGGGGCGGGGTGAAGTCAACACCCAAGACTAGGTCTTGTGCGTGTCTGTAATTACGAGGGCTGGACTAATAAGGACACGCACGTCCTAGTGCAAAATCAAGCTTTTCCGTGACCTAAAATCTTAAACTGCCTACGCAGAAACATTGGATGAAGGATAGAGCGTATCAGTGAGGCCTGGACATTCCCCCATGCCACATCAGAAGTTAAGGAGCTTGGAGATAGGCACATTCTAAACTAAGCATAAAAGGCTTTCATGCATCATTCGACAGATACTTTCATGTTACCAAGTCGATTGCTTAAAATAGGGGGCTTTGTTTTGCTAGTTTAAGATCACTTAAGAAGTCGTAATAGCGAAAACCCATTTAACAATACTCGATTAAATTCAGCGCCACGGAAAGTACCATCGTCTGAATACCACCCTAGTGGGGAGGGGTGAATGGGATCTGCCCAACTGTACCCGTGAAGACAAACTACAATTTGCCACTCACCCTATTGAGTTTCTCCAGCTCCCGTGATAGAGCCTGATTAATCTCTCGGAACAGGTCATCCTCGTTGATGTACTTCACGTAATTCTGTCCATTCGTTCCCAACCCATGCTTGACAACTGATCGTAGGAGATGGGCAAAGCATCCAGCCGCCACTCCCACATCTGGCAAAATGCCACCCATTTCGCTCCAATTTGAGTCACCGCTCTTGGGAGGTGTTCGTGGAAATAGATTTCCAACCACCACACCAACGCTTGAAAAGGTTGGAAGGAAGCTAGAGCCCCCGGCGCTGTGACTGCTGAGGCTGGAAGTCTTCCGAACGAGAGCATCAATTCGTGCAGTCCTCGCAGCTGAGCGATTTCCGTTTTGACCTGTGGGAGGTTTCCCACCAACTGAGGGCAACTGGGGCAACGTAAAGAAGCCCAAAGGCAATTTATGTTCAGGGACCGTTTGTGAGTCCTTGAAGATGAACACATAGACGAGATTTGACGTCTCGATTCGGATGATGTCACCTGGTTCGAGAGATTTATTAATTGGAAAGTTATTGGAATCTGTTAGTGTCTCCCAGTTAAGTATCACTGTGATAGGGTATTCAGGCTGAATAAAATTGTAAGTAGAATAAATACACAACCAAATTGCTTTAGACTTTGTGCTAGCAGGATGGTTCTTGGCAATGAAACGGATGGGCGATTTGAAGTCGTTGTAGTGATCCCCATTAAGATTTACAGTTTCACGGGAGATCTTTGCTTCTGGGGAGAGGTACAAACGAATGTCGTTGTACGCTGAAGTACCCATTGTTATTTCACTCACCTTGCCCCGACAGATGTCGGAAAAGCTGTGGACAAGAGGATCACATTCAGGTCTACTACCCTTGATCAAAAGGAGAAACGGACACTGGGGTGCCATTAATCGGGAACTGTTAACTGTCGAATCAACCGTGTTCTGAATTCTCGGTCGAATCCGAGCTGGAAATGACACTGAGGATGGATGAAGCTGTTTTCGCAGTTCCAAACGACGACACAGTCCTGGTGCGGGTGCCATAAGGGAAAACACATTTAAAATCTTCTCCTCTGGAGGCAGGGGACGTGAATTCAGTTCGCTGAACACCTCTCCGGGATCATTAACTGTGCCCGATTCATTGATAGCTTTTGAATTCGCTGGAAGTCTACCAATAACTTCAAAGAGATCGACTTGACTGGTAACAATATCTCCTTCAGAAGAGAGTTGGATGACCACCTTTTCGATGCATTCGCTTACCGTGTAATCATTTTGTACAAAGACAGTTTTAAACTTAGCAGAGGGACAAACACGTTCACAAAAGATGCGCAGATATCGACCTGTCGTTCCTGCAAGCTGACCCACTTCTGAAATGGACAGCTCACGTCCCAGTCCGGGCAAGGCATGAGAGGCGATAGTAGGTGAACTCTGTTTACGATGGCCAATTTGGGACTGGGAGCTGTGGAAGATGCGTCGAATTTTCCCGCTCGTTGTGGAAGATCGACGTGAATCGATCAGAGACATGCGGTTAGTTTGCTACCCAATGCTGCTACTGGAGGATAGAGGTATGTTGAAATAATGCTAAGAGCAGTGATGTTCCACACCTTGCTCATCTACCACTGTGTGCAGTCGCGGCACTCGTATGGTGCATGTGCGAGCGCATGCGCCGAGAGTGGAGTTCTGGTGCACGCTTGTGCCAGCCGCCAATTGGATCAGGTTTGTTACCTCTCCATTGGTCCAAATCCAATGAACCTATAAGCAGTTGAGAGATTTACTCGAAGATGTGCTAATATGCACCTCATAGGGTAACAGGCCGTACGCTTTCCTTGGATTGAATAAATTGCTTGATATGATAGCTACGTAATATAGAGGTAGCTTGTCTTGACAAATTGGAATGGTTCAAGCCTAAATGAAATATGCAAAAACTTGTTCAAGAGGCTGGGCTGATGAAACAGGACATTAGCTTAATTATTCCGTTATCATTAATACATCCTGAGCTAGTAAGTACCTTCGCTATTTTTTAGCTACAAGTTATTCGAGTTCATGTAAAAATGATTAGCTCAACTCCGGAGCAGTCCCTTCCGTCATCGATCAGTTCACCGACTGCGTTTATTCGTAATGAAGCTTTAAATTCACTTTAAACGCACGTCTTTGACACTTGTTCTACTTTACACAAATCTTCAAATCACCAACGTTATTGTCTCCATTTCGTATTTTAAGATCATTTGCAGTGCTATGGCATTACAAAAAGAACATTAGGGCATGAACAAGAGCAATGCTAGTATCAATCTAATATTACCTGCGAGCTATGACCTCCACACCGGTTGCTGATGTAGCATCCCAAGGCTTCTCGGAAGAGGAAAGAAGATATGGATATGGGACAGAATGTGCATCATCCAAGGCCAGCAAGATCAATGGCCACTGGGACGACCTAGGTGCTAGTCCGAAGTCAATGGCAAAAACATTGGAGTAACACGTCTCTACGATCAAAAAAAATGTTTGGGATGTAGGAATGACACTATTCTCAGTTAGTCCATCCTTCGACTGTGCACTTCACCACCGTACTACTATGTTAGTCAATATCGTGAACTGCAGAGAAGAAATTTCTACGAAATAAAATAAAATCAGTACAAACCTATTAAAAGTGCCCCCAGAACTGACTACATAGTGCATAAACGTATTTAACTCAAGTTGCCTAATCGTACTGCTGGTTAGACCGTTTAGTCTTCAAAAAGACTAATACACTTATTCAGTTGGAATAATACAATGAACATTTTTAAGAGCATTCACGCATTTCTTGGTGGGTAGTGCCTAAGAAATACTGTAATAGCCATCGACTCAATGGGCTTCAATGCAAGGTGGCTAAGCACGTTCGTAAAGTTGTTAATGGTAACAACCAAGTAAGCATGGGATACACCGAACAAAACAATGCTCAAAATTGCAAACTCTCGTCCGTTAGATGAAAATCACACATTGGTCGAACTCACTTTGTCACATGGAGAAAAGTGGCTGGTCATAGTCAACCCCATTTAGAGCGTACTACCATCGTCCACACAGTCATGGGGTGGTGATGCTAAAGAGGAGATGATTGTCAATCGGAGCGCTATCTTCGAAGTATGGAAGGTAGAGCAGCCAAAGACAGCGCCTTTTAGCGGCATTAGCATTCATACTGCTCCTTTATGGCATTGTGAGGTCTTGAACATGGAGGGTGAAAATCGCTGACAGTACTTGTATCATTCCATCTAAACTGTAACCTCAATGATGAAAAATTGTCTGCAATCCTACAAATGCCTACTCTGGTCTCGTAGAAGATCGGTAGTGCCCGAAGTATTTGACGAATGGGCGGTTTTCAATGCAAGACATTTCTCGCCACAGGTCAGTCAGCGTGAAATCCCTCTTAAACGAGGGGATTTTAGCACGTGACGCTAAGGGGTGACGATCATCAGTCTCTAAAGGATTACAAAAAAGCGAAACTCACTTGCTTAGCTCCCACCAGTCTTCTAATTTCAATTGATGCTGGCATAAGCCAGACTTCCCATCAATCCCGTTGAACATAATCAAAGGCCACAATCACTGATTCCAATCGTCTCTGCCCAGTATCTGCAGTGTGATGCAGTTTGATTCAGAGGTGAAAGGTCATAGTCATCGGGATGATCCGTAGGCGGCTCATTCCCGGGAACAATTATTAATTGATTACTTGACCCTTTATACTGCAGCGGTCTGCACGATTTGATGAGAAGCATTGGACTTCGACTCATCTTGTGCAGTACACAAGCCAAAATTGCATTCATCAATTTCGGCCAATTTTTACGATGAGTCCATAAAAACGAAAGGATATAGAGAATACAACAAAAAGGTATCGCACCGATAGACTGGTGCGCATCTGTCCACGATCAACACCGCATCAGCACAAAGCACGCTTGTCTCAAGAGTGTCTTTAATGTACAACAAGCAATTACAGTGCGGTCTACTTATTAATAAACATTTTTGTACATTCCACAGCCCTACACAGACCCATTATTCGACTTCTCAACTTAAGGTATCTGAAGAACGAACTCACAAGTCAAGAGCAATAGCATGCAAAGTTCATAGCTAATACCAGAACCCATCGAAACCTATTATATCCAACGTTAGTTACATTAAACGAAGAAACGAACCCTTTAGCTTCACACTAAACCTTAAAGCCTCTAATTCAGATAGAACAACAGTGCATAAACAGACGTCATTAATCTTCGAAGAAATAAAAGCAGTGCTCCAGGGTGAGGAAAATTATTTTGTAGCAGAAAAGTCCGTTTATTGATTTATTAAAGAAGGAAACCAGAAAATAAAACTAAGCGATCTTATTCATTTAGCACATAGGTTGACAATGTACAAACATGTCGGAATTCTCTCAATCAGCAATGAGATGTCAATGAGCACAACAGCGTGATGGAAATCGGGTATAAGAGTCAGTTATATCATAAAGAATGAGATTTTAGTGTATGAGTACGTTCATTTAAAAAAAAAGTTTCTTCGAAAGAAGCTCTCGCGCCTATTTGATGGGCCCGTGTTTGACGAGCTCGGTCCAATATTACGTCCCTCCGTTGTCACAGCCATCTCCCCCTCCTCCTCTTCTACTACAGCCTCGCTTCTGGTTCGATGGAAGATGGCACTGCTACACGTTCTCCTAGATTTCCCATTCTTGCCCACTTTTAGTTTTTTGAAATATGAGAAAGATGTGAGTACAGACGGTGAGGGATGAACAATCATGCTACAAGTATCCAGGACAGAGTCCGAAGGATGGTGACGATTAACCACCTCCGCATCGCCAGAATCTTCACCACGACCTTCATTGAGAGTAATGAGGCTACTCCAGCTTGTTAAAGTTTCTGGAGAGTAATTTCGCTGAGTTATCTTCGATTTTTCAGCTGATTGTGTTGCTGCTGCCATTGACTTTCGCAGCGGAGGGGCGACTGGGATGCGAAAAGGAGAGGTGAAGAGGTTCTTTATGGATGTGGAACTGCTGGTTGCAGAAACCCGTGAAACTGGGTGATTCACACGACGCGAGAGGTTACATTCAGAGGCAGACTAGAACAGAAGATGCTAACACCTACATTAATCCATTTTATTGGTAGGCAAATGAATTCAAGGTCAGATAGAAATCAAATGAGTATAAGCACACTTGTAAGTTTACAACGTATTCATGAGGATTATGAATCGGACAGACTCAGGGAAGATGCCATTTGGATATGATGGTCTAGAGTTCTGGACAAGCGAAACAAATGTAGAAGTGGGGCACCCATCAACGGCATCCACCATCAGTAAAACCTACCAATTTCATACCGGCCACATCACACTTTCAAAACTATTTAATCCAACACTACCAAAATGCGCACAATACCGTTATCGTGGAAAGACTCAGTAGACATATCAAATAGCACAAACACTTCCGACCCCCAAGGTGAAATGCAGACAACTTAGCTGTCTAAAAGGAAGAATATGTAACATACGAAAGATGAGGAAATAGACCATGTCCCAATAGTATTGTTTAACGACCGAGGCTACAAATAGACAATGTCCCCATTGGATCTAAACAGATCATGAGTTATGATACCGTAAGGTAGGTCAAGTAAGCTAGCCATTTCAGGTATACACAGAGATAATAGCGCTTGAAATAACGTAGCCTGAGTTACCTGTTAAATTGTGTAAAAGAGAACGTCATAAGCAAACCTTATCGAGTCCTGCAGTTCCAGGAATGCGTGGATCGACGGATCGAAAGCGAGGCACCAACCAACAAGTTGCACCTCTTCCTGATAATGTCCTTACCACCGCATTGTCCTCGTTACCCTCGTCTTCGTCCGCAGTCGCCAATGGAGCCACCCTAGACATAGAGCTTGAAGTAGAAGCCGTGCGCTGCTGGTCTCGTTGACCCTGCCGTCGCTCCGATCGCTTCGATCGACGAATACCCGCCAGGAAGGAGCGATAAATACTTTTTCGGGTGGCATTCCTAGTAGAAAAGCATCAATCAACTTGCCAGTAAAATGCATTTAGAACCTCCACGCCGATTTGAAGCAATAAATTAGACTTGTTATAACCAACATTATCAAGGACGAAAATAAAAGTAGCAAAACAAAAGCACTAGAAATAACGATTCAGCACTTACATTGACGACCTTTGATTACGACATTTGACTGGACTGAGTTGTTTTGCAAAACAAACAACAAACGATTAAGCTTTATTTTCTTAAGCCGCAGTGAAGACTGAGATTTACATGGCCGGTAGAATGACAATGACTGTAATAAACCGATACCAATGGAAACTTACATAAGTCCACCGAAGGACTGCCTACCATAACCACCACCATATGTGGAACGGGGGCAATTCGATCGAAGGGAGGTGGTTGAGGAGGTTGCAGTATTAAGATCTTTTCTGGTCTTTTTGCTCGTGGCAGTGGATGGGACAGCAGGTGGGAAGAATCCGGGCCAAGGACCCGCAGACGAGCAGGAGTCTATGGAAACAACATCATCTTCCTCGGCCCCACCGTCGTAGGAGCTTTTTCTTTCACCCGATGTAAGTTCCTCGCCCTCCTCATCAGAAATGAACTCCATCCATAACTTTTTCCTCTCCATCTTTGAAGCAGAAGTAGCAAGAGAATCAGCTACGAATGCGGTGCTTGGAAGAGTGGCAGTGATGGCAACATTTTGTGAAACGTAGCTCTCATTCAATAGCTGCGACTCGGCTTCTATTGTCTCATCAAACTTGTTCAGTGTCTTGGTCGACAACTTCATTGGAGTTGCTTTGGGAGTGTGAGAAAGCAACTGCAAAAAAAGAAATTAACAGCCGAATTTGGGATAAATTAGAAGAGAACCTGAAGCATAAAAATCAAATTAAAGCAGTTTCGGTGCTGCATTTAAGACATCAAAGTGGAGCAATAAAACACAATATCAGACGGTCGAACCCTTAAACAATGCAACCGCAAAACAGGTTCTCCACAAAAAATGAACCTGCATTTTAAATAAACCATAGAGATGCAAAATCCAGTTAAATGTTATGAGATGAAAAAAAAAATCTATTGGAATTGAAGTTGTTCGCATCACGCAAATATGAACTCCTCCAGCATCCCTCAATTTGCCTTTCGAGATGGTAACACGAAGTCCGGCTGTGTCAAATGATCTCAATCTTTAGCACACAACATCTGGACAGGGTACAGACAACAAATACAAGTGAAGGTCGAATGAAACTCAAAAGTGTCTTTATAAAGGCAAATAAAAACCAAAATTTCAGCAAACGCATGGATCGAAGAGAAGAATGGCAATAATTAAATGGTACTAGAAGAATAGTATAGAAACCCATTCAAGGCACCTTTGGATGATCCAAATGCAACAAGGTAGTAAGCATAGGGATGGAAGCAAACCTAGGAACCCACCCCAGTAAATATAGATCCGAGGACAGAAGGACGCGAAGGTGTGGCGAACCTCGAAGGTACGTTGTGATACTGGTGGTGATCTTCCTTGTCAGCAACAGCGGCGGCGGCAGTACAGCGAAGTGAGATGCTGGAGGAGAGAGCCGTGCTCGAGGCGCTCTCGAGGGTCCAGAGTGGGGGTCCAGAAACGTGAGAGATAATGTATTTTCCGCCCTGTCGCATGGTGTTGTTGCATTCATGCTGATGAGATAACAGTGAAGACCCATTCGCATTACGCGTGTTTGCTGCACGTCGTGGCGTCTTCAGAGATATGGCGCGACCCAGATGTCGCGAAAATCTAGAGCATACGCAGCAAAGCAAAATCACTGAGGGTCCGGCCTGAAAGTTCGATGCGAATTCGTTACAGCTACCGATATAGCCAGATCTTACAGTGACCATTACAGACAAATACCGCCCTCGACCACTGATCGATCTTATGCCATTATAAATGTGTGGATTAAGCTCCTCCAAAATGACAAGCTGTGCAAGTGAACTCTGCAACCAAAGACGGTAATAACAATCTGAATAGATTAATTAGAAACCAACTACATATGCTCACAAAACAAGTATAAATCTTTTGAGGGACAAACTTCTGAGTAGACTTGGTATATAAGTGGGGTAAATGAAAAAGTGAAAAATCTCTGAAAAGCTAGATCGAAGTACACATTAGTCACGTCGTCAGAGACGGTAACAGCAGCGAAGAACTAAATTTTGCAAGAGAACGCCTTAGTAGTACAAAGTAAAATTTTTGCGAACAAGTATTAGCATAAGCCATGGGATTCCTGATTTAGGAAACGAACCATTGTAATAATAATGCCAGTTCCAAATACCTGTGAGTTCAGAAGAGTAAGTTTGTAGATGCGAAACAATGTGAATGTACTCATAAGGTGGGTAAAAGCTGAATTGAAAGGCATGCAGGAAGCACGCAATGAAGGAAGCTCTCAAACAGCTCACCGAAAATGAGCAAGCAATATCCCAGTGGTTTCGTCAAAGGATGTGCATCCTACCGATTTGCTAATCCAATATTAACATTAGACCAGGAAAAGCATGAATCATTAAGCGTTTTTTTTGTCCAAGTGTAAACTCAACAAACACCTTAAACCATTCTGCAAAAGGCCTACCCTTTCCATTTGTACATAAGGGATGAAAATTAAACAACTGAACCGGCCACACTGATTGTGAAATGAAAAAAAAGGTACAAAAGCCGGGAAAAATAGCTTCCAAGTGATAAAAAGCGCAAACTCACTTTTTCGATTTGAAGGACCCATTACCAACACTACTAAAGACTGTGTCTAGGTCAAAGGCCAGTACCACCTCAGGCTCCATTTCGACAAGAAGATCCTCAGGAATGCTAGGTACGAAAGACACCTGCATTACATTGCGACATAGGCGTCGAAGAAAATTAGTCTTTGCCTCGTGCACACAATGCTGTAATCTGGCCACAACGCTGCCCTCATCTTCCTCCACTTCTTCTGCCTGCATCTCAGCAATGGCACCGACCCCCTCCAACTCCTCCGCGTTATCAGCGGATACAAGGTCATTTCTAACATCTTTAAAGGAAGAGGGCCTTCGTCCAGCGGTAACGGCTGCCACTGCAGACTCTACTGCCTCCGGACACTTGCCTGTGGCGATAGCCGCAGTGGCGGTGAAGCTGGCTGCCAGGCAGAATGTAAACATCTGATCACGCTCTTCCGAGGCACCTCGAACTATGAGAGAGAAGGCAGCACGTTCTGGGGACATAGTGCTTAGATCTAGAACTCGTTTGATGTCCTGGAGCTTAAGAAGCAGTAGATGGGTAAATTTTTGACGCTTCTTGCCGTCAGCTCCACGGCCGAAGTTTGTAACCCCAGAGGCACCGGAGTCGGCGCGTGAAATCGAAGTGTTCCGTCTGCTGCCGCCCATTGAAGAGGTTCCAGCTGCAGAGTTATCGTCACCACCATTCCCTCCCTCATCACAGATTCCAGTAGCAAGAGAACCATGTGAGCCACCTACAGATTAGAGTTACGTTAGATACTTGAGGATGTGATGTTCTACGAATGCAAGGGTGGAAACAGACACTCAAATTGACCGCAAGAAATTGTCGCTAGCACCACAGTTGGGCAACTCAACATAAATTTTTACGCATACGTTTTCATATAATGGAGTTAAAAACAAATTCCGAAGATTGGATGATTTCACAGCACCACTATTAACGGGTGAAGTCCACGTATAGCTCCTTACGCCAGTATTACCAAAAACGCAACGCTAGTAATGGTATTGAAAAAGGACATGAAGGTATTAAATTTAGCGAAGTCACCTATCGAGACAGCATGTAAAACGAAAAAAAAGAGGGAAAGATTTACGAAGACCTAATGATATAAAAAACTTTCAACGTTAAAAATATCGAAAATGCAACCCAAGGCGCAGCCACATTTTGGAAAATCCCTGCGAAATGCTAATATTCTCTACCAAACAACACAGGCAAAGTAGTGTATCGTGTCTGTCGTGTTGTGGCGCAAATAAATTGGGTTCGTGTACACCACGGCAAGAGTTGGGGTAACTTAGCTGAGATTCAAGGAGCATTTGTAACTGAAAAACACGAGACCCATGTGTGGAATATTAAAGTTGTGCAAAAATGGAAATGCTAAAATAAAAAGCCATCGTATTTAAGGACCCATTACAAACCGATGTAGAGGATGGTCTGGATAAATCTCAACCGCTAGACCTGATAGAGCACAAGACACCAATCAATTAATGCCAAATCATAAGGACCTATAGCGAGTAGACCTCAGAGGTCTGGACAGTACACACACCTACTAGATCAGAGAAATAGCCGGGTCTAATCACGTACATAACTAATTTTGTAAACAAGCTAAACAAGCATCTTGTCTTTTCAATTAAGACGCAATTATCTAACATCTCCACCAACATGAACTGGTTTCTTACAAGTTAGTACCCACATTTCATGTGGGTGGATTTAAGGACAATATGGTGATATGATAATCTGGAGCCGTACTGAAGCATCTGATGAAAAAAGAAAGAACTTACCTTCAACGGCCTCCAAAGCTGCTTGAATGGCATGATTATCGCCAGTGTTTCGTTTCTTCGGACGCGCAATCTCGAGGCAGTCAGTGAGGAGGAAGAGAATTACAGGTTCGCAGGTGGGCGTACCACTAGCATTAACGTCGAGCTGAAAGACATTAAGTTGACAGACCAGGCTGCGTGACGAGGATAACATCTCGGGCTAGAGGATCGAAGGGAAATCGATCAGCTGACAACTCTACTGACAACAAGCAAGTAGCAAGTGCCACTTACAGGAGCTCCATTAATGTCATGATAGAGATTTAACAAGGAAATGTGCTCTTCGTTCTTCTTTAGACGCATATTTATGTGGTCCAAGATGGCAGAGAGCTTAGAAGCGAAGATAGATACATCTTCATGGTCTGGATGCGATGCGGGAGTGAATTTGATGATGCCTGAAAGTTAAGCTGCATACATTACCATGCAGGAAACTAAGCAGCAACTCTTCTCAGTATTCGACTCTAAGCAATGGCTTTACATCGTCCTGTTGGTTGTTTAAAGAAAGGACAGATTGGACTTTGACAGCAAATAATTGCCAGACTAAGAGGCAAGCATACCCTGGATGAGAAGCAACATGGAGGGGAGACGTTGAACAGGACGTACTAGGAGATCTGAGAGGCTCTGACGTCCGGACTCCTTACGTCTTTCCACCTGACGCATGAAAGCCAAAAATCTCGGATACTCACGACCTAACTGCTGTAGGTGTGGAGCACTGTAGAACTGCATATAGTGACTATATACCTATGGCGGGAAAAGGCCAATTATATTAAAAATTTCTCAATGATCGTAGATCATGTGCATCAATCAAGCACGACCTTGGATAAAGTAACACCAAAGAACAAGTGCTCTAAATCCAATGAATTACCAAACATTGCATGATTGATACAACCTACCGAAATATGAACAGGTAACCTCACTGCAGTTAAAGTCCTAGAGACAAAGCCAATATCCGGGAACACATGCACTCAAGTAAATAGGAAAAATAATAACCAGATTTACTTTAATTTCCTAGTCAAAAATGGGCAGTATTAAAAGCTCAAAGCTACACGAAGCTCAGAAAGTTAAGTTCTGACTCACTAACTTAAACCAACGGGTAAAATGTTGCCCAAGAACCGCGTTAGCAACCAACAAATACTGCAGGAAAACCAGAATCACCCAAGGAATTTGGTGAAGGATGAATTAATTTTACAGGATCAAGGATTAAAAGTACAAAGCCAGAAAAGTAATGTAAAATGAAGTTCCGATGATCGAAAGGGAAAACATTTAGCGTGAGGTGAATCTATGCGCATTCAAAAATGCATGATAAGGATAGGTAGTTGTGTTAAAAATAATCTACTTTTTCCATTTCATCTATGTAGGGTAAAACGATTTCGCCTAGTCGACTGGTTTCCATATTCCAAGTACTCTCAAGCTCAGCGAGTCGCAAATGAAGGCGTTTGTGGAGTTGATAGATGGGTATTAGTTTTCCAAAGACGATGTCCGCCTCCGCCCTGGGTAGAATCGGTCCGCCTACTTGATCTTCAGCGATCACCTCCTAAAGGCAGATCGGTGAATTAGCAAAAACACTAGCTTGAGGAGGAAAATTTCCGGTGTCGCAAAAATGTACATCGGCAAAGGATGTTAGAAAATTTATCTAAGTATCTATGGCCAAGAGTAACAAAGACATTTCATGCAATAAAATATTTGAAATATCGGGTAAAATAGCACCCAGTACATTTCAATTACGAGTAAGTGCCAAGGAAGCATTTTTTTATAGCTACGACTGCAGTGTGCAAGAAATTGATGCAATAGGTCAGTAAAGGCTTTCAGAGCACCTTCCAACTTCAGTCAAGCTTTATTCGTAAAGGTGCATCCGATTTTTACACTGTTAACATGGAGTGGCGGGAAGTAGTAATTGACAAGGCGGGAAAAATTTCTAGCGCACTCACTGACAGTGCGGTCTGTGTCAGATACTCCAGAATGTTCAAATAATTGCGCTCCGTAAGAAGAAATTCGAAGACCCTATGTTGCCTGTCTTTGAGACGTGATTGCAGGGGCGTCTTTTTGTCGGCTGCACTTGGTGATGCTCGGTAGAGAAGCGGGGAGTGCTCTAAGGAAATATTTAAAAATGGATTGGTAAGTGCGTAAGGTCGGGAAATATACAAATGACATCAAAAGAAATGGGACCATAACGAACCAAATGATGTTTTAATTGTCTCCAGTGGTGTACGCGAGAATGGGGATTTCGATTTTTCTTCGACATCCTCCCCTGATTGCAGCCGCATTTGCAACTCTGATGATGGAGTGGAACAGTTATGAGCCAAGGAGGGGGATGGAGAGGAAGTCTCCAATAGAATGAATGAATTTGCACCTCGTGAGTGGCAGCGATTTGAGGATAAAACCAGCAGTGGATCTGCCAACTGAGCGATCACCTCTTCCCTACTAATATGATGGTCCATATTTTCGTCATTCTTTTGCAACTCAGATTGATCAATGTCTGTATGAAAACAGCATGCTGAAAGAAATAGTAAGCGAGGAAATAATAATGACATCATAGCCCATTCGACTCACTTGTAGGAGAAATGCAGCTTTGAAAAGCCAATTCGCATCCACTTGCGTCTTGGCTAGGGCTTCTGTTCTCTTTCCCTATCGTTCCAGTGGACGGACGATAAGCGGCTTTTGGTGAAAAAGGATCAACAGAGATACATTGGGACGAAAAGAATGAGGCATGTGGGGAGTCCATGGCTCCAGCATCGTGAATATAAAGAAAATCCTGTGGATGGCATATGTAAGTGGACTGTAGCGACTTCCAGAACCAATCCAGTCGGAGCACAGGAACACGGAAAGCGACCTCAGTGAGTCTGGCATGCAAGTCGAAGTCATTTGAACAACAACCGAGCTTGGGAGATGATATTGTATTGACGTCCGCATTTGGACTAACTAGTAAGGCACTCATATCCTATTACGTGAAAGGTAGACATGAGCCAGGATTAACACATCCAGTGACGAGAGAAAAAGGAATGACTTACAATGACATCACTTCTCTTATGCCAGTCATCAGCAACAACCACATGAGTGAGTCTTTCATCTGAAAGATCCTTTGCGAGAGTCCCATCGTGTTCTTGGACGATAGACTCAAGTTCGGCCAAGGTCTCACTCTTTTGTGAAAATCCGATGAAGAAGAGGCAACACGCCTGGAAGACTTTTCCACGGTGTTGATCCTAAAGCATTAATAAGTAATGTATACCAAAAGGGCAACGAACAACAAAGTCTGGATCGCAAGCGTTGAGATCAGGATTTGAATGCCTCAAGTTCCACGCATCTTCAACCCAGGAAACTTTCATTGTGGCGACAGTGGTGGATGTTAACGCAGCTTTTCTAACCTTCTCTCCAGCACAACGAAAAGCAACTAGGTGCGTCACACTTTGGTCTAGTTTTCTTCGCATACTACCACCCATCCAATTAACTAAGGATGCAATCTGGTTCTACAAAGGAGGCAAGCGTAAAGTAATGGCAGTGCAACACCAAAGAGGGTGACGCTATCCAACTTACCACCACAGCAGGGTCACGAAAACCCGTGATCGCAACAACGGCACCGACCATTGCGAAAGAAAAAACAGGCCTCGACTTTAGCCATAGTATATCGCGAAATCGCATGGCGAATAGACTTGGAAGCCCATAAAACCGGGAGTTTGGATTAGCAATACAAAGAGACTTCAACTCGGCGGAGTTTGGAAAATCAAACAGCAAAACCGCCTCCGGAAGATCAGATGTACACTGTGAACTCGGGAGTTGCCTCCCTTTCAGCTTTTCTATATTCGGTATGTACAGTATGTTCAAGGAGCGACCAACATCCTAATGGAATTAGCTGAAGCACCACTCTACCTCTATTAACTTTAGAAATAAAGGATTTGAAAACACCTCGTTGCCCACAACAGTAAGGTGAGAAAACCTCTCCCAGAACGTCGTAGACGTCAACATTTGCAAAACAACCGAACTTCCCGCCAACGGAAACTATTAAATAGTCGGTTGATTAAAATAAAATTCGAGGGGAAATTCGTCTTTCGTGGTCAACAAGGCAATTTGTTGGCACATTTACTGATTCATTGCTTGAAGTAACATTAATAAAGTTTTAAAAGTTGCATCCTATTTCCCGGAAATGAGGTAGCGCATCACTTTGACGTTTAACATTTACATCTGTTCACTCTTAAATCCCTCATATTATATGTTTTGGTATACTTAACATAATTATTCTATTGTAATCACGAGACTTATAGCGTATAGTGACTCTCCTGAGTATAAAAGAATTACCATGGTTATCCTAAAACAAACAAAATTGATTCTAGAGCAGAAAATATGTGTAAATGAGAGTAGAAGAGATTGGAACTATTGGCATGAGCTTGAAGCCATTTACTTTGGGGCTTGAAATCTGACAATCTATAATGCGAATCTACCTAGCTACTATGTGTTGTAAAACGCTACTAATCGGAATGCGAACATTCGGCATACCTAAGGGTCAGTGTGTAGTGTTTGAAGACTTCAGTGCAGTTGTAGAAGTCGTTGGCCATATCTGAACATTTATGATCCGTGGTCTGGTGCGAAAGTCAACTTAAATTCAGGTGGCGCTCTCAGCCCTACGGTCTTGGATGAATGAGTAATAATCCCATCCAGAGCATACGCTCTGCACTTGCGCCCAAGAAATTTGTCATAAGTGACCAGCAACAAAGAAGCAGTCGTAACAAAAACAAACTCGTTTTTCGTTGCTACCAGTGCAACGTCCCATTCGTTTGTAGGAAGAATTGGGTATGGCTGAATAAGTATCTTCACACGAAAGACCAGCCCACGCAGCACAAGCGGCATGGTCGCCGAAGTGGCCTCCATTCGTACCGGTAATAAAATAAACCAAGTATCACAAGCCCATGTGCCTAACCCCAAACAACTCGGACGAGAATTGGCACCTTATTAATAGCGGAAGGTGAAAGGACGTCCAACATTTTTCATTTATGCGCTAAAGATACATCGTTGCTTTTGGCAATGCTAAAATGCTCAACATCCCCTCTAGTGGTAAATATACGAAATGCCCAAAGCACTCATGTTAACTCTTACCAAAAGTGTCCAAGATCACTTTAGGCCTTGTAACATCTACTACAAATGTTGGGCTGAGTGTTCGACTGGAACTGCATGGGGATATGTACGGGCTAGTAGGCTTTAAATGGACACAAAATTACCAGAACTGTAAGCGGACCAAAAAAGTCAAAGGACCCCGCTTTTTCAATGAGACAGTTAAAACAACCTTTGTTCACCGAAGGTTGGAACTGTATCAGGCCAATATTTAAAAAATGTTTTTCTACTTTAGTACTTTTGGGAAAAAAGACATTTGTGTAGGCTAATTTTGCGTTCAATTTGCCTTCTTCCTATAAAGCTGCTGGAGCTCACAGGGAGCTGCACATTTGTTTAGATTAAAAAAATTATCGAACAAAATATTGTCGATTAGAGAATTAACAATTATCCATTTTGCCTCTCAAACAGAGCGCAAATACTAGTGTGATCATTTTTATCTATTTAAAGCTCTCCTCAATTTTAATGAATCGTTTTGACTAGACTGTCTTCTTTTGCCCATCATAATTGCTGATGAAAGAAATGCGTACACCACACAAGGATTCAGTAGCCAGACCATTCATCTAGACAAGATGCAACGCTTGTCTATGCTGTACCACGAACTGACCTTCTTCTGTCTTAATTCCCCCTATTTTGTGCTCTAGGTAGGATTTTCTAGCAGCTGAGCCTTGTCATATTGTCCGACATCAACTGCTTTCTTATAAGCAGACACTGTTTAAGAAGCGTGCATACTACCTCGGTGGGACTTCGTTTTTGTGTGGCACAATGTCAGCAGAGTGAAGAGTAAGAATCGGAGTACTGTGAATGTGGCGCATCGAGACGGCCCACCGGCTAAAGAAAGCATTAAGTTTGCGTAATACCATGTATTCGAGAAGAAGATTAGATTGAGCTTTGACTTGGCCCAAAAGCTGGCCAACGCGTACAAGAGTAAGGCGAGTGCCAGAGTGGCCCACAGACACGCAGGTAGTCACACAAATAAAGTATTGCATGACCCTTTTGATGCGGGAGGCATGGGTACCACCAAGTCTTTTGATGACACCAAACCCATAACTGCGCCTTTTGAAATGGATGTGATACGATAAATGGCGCAGCCAAGGTTTTAGGTTTCTTAACGAGTACATTTTATTTGCACGTGACTTGATTAACATCACGTTCGGAGGCTTTCCGATTTGCGGCAAAATGCATTATGCATGGCCAAATACTTTTATTCCGACAGGAAAAACAGAAGTGAGGTGCTGTAGCCTGACTCGAAGGCCGTTTCACATAGCAGAAATAAGATGGCAGCCAAAGTGACCGCCATTCACACAGGTTGTCAAAGTATTACGATCAATGCAATGATTTTGAGCATCGTATGCAAGAACAGATCAATTTGCATAACAGTAAACGGCATAAAAATAAGTTCGTCACTCTCCTCCACGCCATGCTTAAAGGCACATGCGTTAGCAGAAGTAGACCTTCAACAGATAAGGACTGTAGTCGCATGTCTTATGCTCCCTTCTTACTTCATTGAAGTGAGTTATTTCAAGCTGCCAAGTATGTTATAATATCACCCTCCCTGACCGGAGGTGACCACCGTGTTGGCAAGATGGATGAACTAAGACTTCAGTGGATTCGAAACGTTTAGTCCCTAAATTGACGACCCAAACTGATTGCATTATAAATGAATTCTTTATTGTATGCGGTCCCTCCATAGAAGTTCATTTCAGTTGTCCTTTTGCAGACGAATTATGCAAATTTGTCTTTTAATTGGTAACGTCTGAAAGTCATTAAGATAGGCAACATTGTCCTTGCGGAACAAGTCTAGACGCAAAGAAGGAGTTTATTAAAGTTCTCTCATTTCCCAAAGTCCTATTAAGGAAGCCATGTCTAACTAAACGCGGATTTTATCATACTATTTCATAACTCGAAGAGTATCGAATTTTGTAAAAAATAATGGGGAGGTTGTCAATGCCAGGCTTACGCACCGATAAAATTCTGCCACTTTCTGCGGATTTGATTATAGTTTTTAGGTGATGTAGGCATCTAAGCCCGCCGTTGACTAAAGTTACCTTCGAATGTCCCTTTTGACAGTGTACACAATCCGGTCGCGGGTACACATAGCGTCACTGGTTTTTAGAGTGGGATTTATAATTTATACAAGGAGCTGGCTGCTTCTTATTTACCAGGTGGGACAAACCTGCGAGGCAAATACATCGTCCCCTCCCTCTTTCCTGAAGCATGTACCTCCACAGCAAATAACATGGAAGGAGTGTGCGGACAATACATCACAGCAAAGTGGCATCCCGATTTCTGGATCAGCGGCATAGGTTTGCATTTAAAGAGTCTGACACTCAACCCGTGTTTGAAGTGGCATTTCATTACTTTCGGGCCAATGACATGGTAACGGGTCACTTGTTTATCCTCTAACTTGCAAGAACTTGGTTGCAAATCAACTTTGGTAAAAAGTTTAATGTGCTCGCGAGTAAAATAGATACTATAAGCATCAGACGCAGTCGTGTGGTTTGGGTAAAGAAGCTTGGAGGTCTTATGTCTGTTTTCACGACGGCCTTCGTTAAATTAAAGTTAGCCATACGGAACGACGTTTGGCATAAAATTATGCTTTTATTTTCAAAATTCAACTTAGATGGCAACTTATTTTAATACGTTTGAGGAAGTGGGCTTCCTATGTCCAATAACAGTGGTTCCTATGTTTCCATCACATCGTCTCCCTATAAAAATGCCACACTTTATAGAGAGAAATTTCTTTGTTTGAATGCATAAAAATGACAGATAAACAACCAACACTCTTCTTAAAGCGTCATCAACGCCTGAACAGAGGCATGATCAAATGCCTTGGGAGAATTCAAACAACCAAAAAGAGCACACAGACTGGCTCCAATGTCTAAAAGGAGAAATCGCACAAAATTATTGGAAGAAAACGTAAAGGTAGGGTGGATTTCGAAATTGCGGTGACTGTCATCAAGGCGTCTTTGGAGTGCAACCCAACGCTTCTAAGCCCTGGAAATAAATTATTGCTGCTCGATTACTAAGTGGACTTTCATCTCTTAACAAAATATTTGTGCCAGAAATGAGAGATCTTACGACATGGGAAAGTTATTACAATGTTAACATCAATATGCATCATAAACCTCGGTAAACTTGGATTTTTAGGACGACTTTTGCAATTTCCTGAACCAAGACATGGAAGCATAGAAAGCCATAAGGACGAGAGTTTATATTTTATGTGGCGAATGTAATTTCTGCTGGATAAAGGAGGTTATTCCCACGTAACCAAACAAACTAGTCCAACCCAAGTAGGAGCGCACAGGTCAACCTAACTGTTTATCACTCGCATTCCTTCCAGAAACGAATACACACACACATGCACGCACACGCACAACACTTGGGATTCAAACAAGGGTCGAATGGCGCCCACGGGTTCGCAAATGCTGAACAGCATACACGCACTGGGCATACGTACAGCCACGTTTGTGATTGGCTGATGCAGCTCGCCCACGGCGGTGCAATCAATTTCCACGGCCCCTACACGTAATTGCAACAGCGAACACACGCACACACCTTCTTCCTCGTACACGAGCCCACGTGTGCCAACTGCAGTTGCTGCGAGTGGCCTTCCTTCCACTTTCATTGCCTCAACTCACTCAGGCATTTGGGCACTGCTCCCTATCAGCACATACGCCTCACATCCTCAACTCCTTTCAGGCCACCTTTCTTCTCCCCTCCCTCCAACTCAGGCTATCAAATTCTAAAAGAGAGGAAGGAGTAGCACACAGGCGCATACACTCCCTCTGGGTCGTTCCACTCATGGATCTTTTTCTATAACTCTCTTAACTCATGGCAACTGCAGAAGGAGGTCGATTCGACTTTGATGATGGTGGCAGCTACGTGGGTGAGTGGTGCGAGAACCGAGCTCATGGCTTTGGTATCGCTACGGGCCCGGATAATCAGGGAGAGTACTCCGGCGAGTGGAACATGGGCTTCGAGTCGAGGGGCGTCTATGTGTGGCCCTCGGGTAACCTCTATGCAGGAGGCTGGCTCAAGGGCAAGCGGCACGGAGAGGGAGTGCAAATCAAGGGCCGATGGATTTATCGGGGCGCTTTTACGTCTGGATTCTATGGACGCTATGGAGTCAAGGAGTCTTTAACTACATGTGCGCGGTATGAGGGCAGTTGGCATTTAAACCAGTTTGATGGGTTCGGCGTGGAGACCAACTCAGATGGAAGTAAGTTGTATGTATGTAATTCAACAGCTGAATCTATTTCTGCTGTTGAGGTAATGTTAGGTCCACTATACCAAAGATATTTTGGGCCAATTTCCTTAGCGAATCAAATTGTAGTGCAAATAGCTGGGCAAAAATGTAACACAAAATTTAAGCTCTCGTCTTGATTTCGTTTTAACAGCCAATCAGCGTCCCTTGGACATTAGAAGAAATAATTTTCATGCGAAATGATGGTCGATTGCATGAAATCATGAGAGTATAAAGTACTAAACGGAGGAAGACGATCTGTTTTGTGGAGTTCAGAAGAGACACTTGACTGTTGGCTGAAGCTAAAGCACTGATTTGAGCGAAAGATGGGATTAAAGTGCTAGCGACTTCGGAGATAAAACGCTTGAACTTTAAAAATCAAATCATTGAATGGCAGGTGATGTCGCGCTTCTGAATGACGGAATTATGATCAACGCAATTTACTTCCCCATTATTACCATCAACCTTGAAATCGTAGCGCAATCGACTTAAGTCAAATCAGTACCAATTCAACCCTTCTTTTAATCTCTGAATTATCTATCTTGACTGTCAAAAGGCCTGCGAAGGTCACCACTGCCCTACAGGGAGAACAGCAAATGTAGGTTATTTCGGCCTTTCAAAGGAAAAAATGTCATCGTTACATAAAGACCTAAGCAACTCAAAGACATTCTGGGACGAGTCTTTCGCAAAACAGCAATAAAAAGCGTGAAGTTGGGAGCAAACAAAAAGGGGAAAAGGAAGACTTTTTTGGAGTTAATTGCATCAATCTCTCAAAGATACGTTGGCAAGCTTCATTCAAAGTACCAATAATAATTTACTGTCTTTCTTTTCCGTCGGCAAAGTATAGCGCTTTCCTCTAAATTTGAGCTCTACAAGTCTCCTAGTCAGCGCTATCAATACAGCATCGAAATTAATCCACTCCGCCTTATTTTCAGCAAGACTGACAATGTGTTCAAGGCTATTTATGTTTTTGCCAGCTTTTAGATGACATCACGAAACGCTCCAATTGGGACTTGAGTTTGTGAAAGAGTGAAAGGATTACTAGCGTTTGTGGCATGAAATCACATTGGATGAGACCAGCATGAAATTCAAATCGTAGGCACCGAAGAAACCGTCTCCAGGCGAGCATGCGACTAAAACAGGCGCCGTTGTTATTAACGAACTCGGGCGCGTGTATAGAAGTTAAGCAACCTCTTGAATAAAAAGGCTAAAAGTCAAATGGTTCTCTGTTAAACTAGTAAGCATTAGAAGGGACTTTTCGGCCCTCCTTTTATCCACTTCAAGGTGTCACCTGATCGTAACGACCAGTTGTATCGGGAGTCAGTGGACAAGGGGTGCGAGCGCCTTGGTCTCTTCATCCACCACCTCTTCCAGACATTAATGTGGATGAGAGGACCTAATGTAGAGGCCAAGAGATCCGCCAGATCACCACGTTGGAATAGGATAGGATTGAGAGCAAGTCCATCTCCACGCTTTCAAGGGTTAAAATTCCCAGCATAAAAAGTTGCCGTATTAGTTGATCCTTTTAAGGTTAATTTTATGCCAGAATCATGTTGAAAGGACAAGAGACAACCATTTCAACCATTAAGTGGATAATCGAAAGCTATATTGGTAGTATTTCTAACTGATTGGTGCTGCAATCTCCTCATCGTGGTAAGAAGGGCGATGAAGTTGCAAAAGGAGTACGCGACACCCTGTCGAGGTGTCGGAATCCAATTTCCGCAATAACTAATAAAACAATTTTGGAAATACGTTCGCTGGAACTTATTTCCACCGCCTCATTGTAATGTGCGGCTGCTAAATCTGTCCAATCTGCATGGCATTAATTTAGTTTGTAGTTCACAACAACTCAATTTACATTGTTTCTCTTTGAAGCGTCTTCGCGGTGAAAGAGACACAAAACCAAGGTATATGGTCATTAGACCCGTTTCCACAAAATCTGCAGTCCTTTTTAACCACCTACGCCTTCTTAAGTTGCTCACTGCTTCTAGTGCTTACCTTATGCGTTGACCGTCACCCTTCATCAGTCCAATTTCTCCCCACTCATTCAAAGAACGTCGAAACGAGAGCGTGCATACATTGCACAATTCAAACAAGGTTTCGACTATGGATGCAGGATTTTGCCCCATTTCGCTAAATCGGTTTATTGCAAGGTTGTAAAACTGATTGAGAAGTTCTTCCAGCAATTTCACCTGCAAATGTGATGAGGGTCAAATGACGGCAGACTTTGCAAATGCAGCTTCTGCTTTATAACGGAAGTACCCCCTTGCAAGCTCTTTGGGCCAGTGTTGACTCCCTAAACATGGTCCCATATTTCATTTGTCTAGTTATATCTGTCAACAAATCTTTCAAGAGTTAATTTGCGTTCGTGATCTGGTTTAAGGATTCTTGACCTGCGGAGCTCGTTTTTTGAATTCGTGGATAACGATTTCAGCAAAAATCATTGTCACCCTTTGAGAGCATGGTGAAGGCGATTTTAGATGCTTGCAAATGTTCATACAGGAAGTGGCGGTGGTACCTGAAAGATTCGCTGTCGCAGTAAGGCGTATGCGACGCACCTGTTCTTTTATCTAATTTGAACGCTGTGCAAATCGTAAAATTTGGGCAAAAGGATGTGAATGAAATCATGAAGGGCGAGGAGTATGGAGAAGATGCTTTTGGCTGCCTATTCTCGGAAGTTCTGTTGGCAAATGCGTTAAACCTATGCTTCTGAATTCTCAGAGTTATGGTGTTGAAAAGGCACCTGCATTCCAATAATGAGCCTTATTTTTTCCTAAAAAAGTCAGTAATTGCAAACGTCAAATAATTTCCACGAAACGCAACTAGTAATATGACAATGGCTAAAATCGCATGCAAGCTCTCCTTTTATTGTGTTGATTTTTAGAGCTTTTAAATGCTTGAGTGGTTCGCTTCAAATGGGCTTAACGCCGGTAGACGTGGATTGCTGATGGAGCGCCTGTTTTGGCCGGACAGTTTGTCCCATGGTCTGCAATTTTGTTTTTTTTGTTGGATCACTTTAAACAATCGGTATGAGGAAACCGGTTTATTGAGACGATGGTGTATAACCTTGGGAGTTGGCATCCCAATAAACGCACTTGAT